TTAGGTGAATATTGTGTCTGTTCTTCTATTGGTTTACAATATTGTGTCTGTTCTTCTCAGGTTACTCCATTTGAATGGTTGAAGGTTGTTCCTGAAGAACACTGGGCCAGGTGTTTCTTTTCTCCTAATGCAGTGTGTGATGTGATTGTTAACAATCTATCAGAATCTTTCAACAACTACATTTTGGAAGCTAGGGATATGGCTATTGTGGACATGTTTGAGTGGATCAGAAGAAGATTGATGGCAAGAATCCAGGTGAAGAAAGCTGGAATAGAAAAATACAAAGAGGACATTTGTCCGAACACAGTCAGAAAGATTGAAGAGCAAAGGGAAATAAGTAGGAATTGTTACCCTACTTGGGCTGGAGAGGACAAATATGAGGTAGTTCATGGAGTAAACAGCTATATAGTCAAATTGGGAGTAAGAAGCTGCACATGTGGCATGTTCCAAGTGGTTGGCTACCCCTATTGCCATGCACTGGCATGTATCAGTTTTCATAGATTCAGTGTGTCTGATTATGTGTCTTATTATTTCAAAAAGGACATGTATATCAGAATGTATACACATATGATCTTCCCAGTGCCAGGGATGAATGACTATGAAGAGTCTGGAATGGGTCCAATACAACCACCTGATGCTGTGAAAAAAAGGGGTAGGCCAACAAAGAAAAGAAAAGCTGACGCTAATGACATGAGGCTTAAGGCATCAAACAACAACAAAAATGGTCTTTTGAAGAAATGCAATCTATGTGGGCTCAACAACCACAATAAGAGAAGGTGCACCAAAATAAGTGAACAGGTCAGTGTTTATTATATTTTTTTTTTTCTACTTCAATTTTTTTTGTTCTTATTTCTGAATTCAGTTGTTTTACTATTTTCATCTTTTTTTTTGGCAGCCAAGGGAGCCTCAGCCAGCTCAGCCTCAGCCAGCTTAGCCTCAGCCAGCTCAGCCTCAGCCTCAGCCTCCTCACCCTCAGCCAGCTCAGCCTCAGCCATCTCACCCTCAGCCATCTCACCCTCAGCCACCTCAGCCACCTCAGCCACCTCAGCCTGAGCCACCTCAGCCATATGTTCCATCCATGCCATGCTTTGAAGATTTTATTCAGTGCTCTGGTCCACAATCATCCACTCAACAAAGCAGGAATTATGGTAGTGATTGGTGATTCCATTTAGTGTTGGTCAAGAACTCTTTCATTACATGGACTATTGTTTTTTTTGGTGTGTTGTTCAGTCAACAATTCATTTCTTTTATGGTGATGTTAATGGTTATGACAATGTAGTTGTGGTATCACTATTGTGTATTTTGTTTGGAATGCTATTGACAGTATTGTTTTGAATGCTATTGGCAGTATTGTTGAGTTTTGAATGTTTGGTTTTGAATGTTTGGTTGAATGCTATTGGTT